TCTGCTATAAATGTCCTCGATGCTCCTTGTATTTGAAGGTTCAATACCTTTACAGCAACAACTTTCCTACCTTCACCATCGAGTAGCCCTTTATATACTGTACCAAAACTACCAGTCCCAATTATATTGTCCTCAGAAAATCCATCTGTGGCTCTCATTAGATCACCATAAGTAACCTTCACATATTGATCTCTTGTGGGTGATGAGTCAAGATATTTTCTTCTTGAACCTTTTCGACGGCATCGGACTATGAGGAAACAGAAAAGAAGAATCACAAATATAAGTAAAATAGTACTCCCGCAGATCACTATTACTGTACGCGATCCATGTTTCTTGTTAAAGGGTTCAGAAGGGCAAGCTGGCAGATGCATTCCTGGGTTCCCTCCACAAAGCTCACTATTTCCAATAACTGAAACTGCTCTTGCATTTGCAAACACACCAAGTAGTGGCACTTCACCTTCAAAGTTATTGAAGGACAGATTCAAATAGTCTAGGCCATGAAAGTCCTGTAAGAAATATGGTATTTCTCCCGATAAGTTATTTCTTGAAACATCAAGACTCTGGATGCCTCTTAACGAGGCTAAAGAAGAAGGAATACTTCCTTGAAAGAAATTTCCACCAAGATAAAGTCCTTCCAGCACTTGACACTGACCGAGACTGCTAGGGATTTCACCAGACAATTTGTTCATGCTGAAATCTAATATATTCACGTTTATTAAGCGCCCGATTTCAGATGGTATTGGCCCTGACAGTGAATTGGATTCCAATCTTAAAGATATGGAGAGTCCGGATATGGAGACTATTTCTTTGGGTATATTACCCGTAAGTTTGTTAGATCCAAGATTTAGATATATTAGGTTTTGGCACTTTCCAAGACTTGCTGGTATATTTCCGCTTAGTTCATTAAAAACTAGAAAAAGTTTAGTCAATTGAGTAAGGTTGCCCATGGTAGATGGAATCTCTCCAGACAGCTTGTTCTTGTCCAAATACAATTCACGCAACTTCTGAAGCTTCCCGATGCTTGAAGGAATAGAGCCATAAAGCAAGTTTCCATCCATAGAAAATATCACAAGGTTTACGAGATTTCCGATATCAGATGATATAGTTCCTGAAATGTAGGTATTCTGCATATATAGATGCTGAAGATTGGTGGAAAAATTAGCGATGGAATTCGGTAGCATGCCACTAAGATTATTTGACGATATGTCCAACCACTCCAACTGGGTACAATTGGTCAAAGCGGTTAGGAATGTCCATCCATCAGGTGCCACGGTTTCTAAGTGGTTACTATAGAGAAGTAGTATTTGCAGCTCTAATAAACGTCCGAGGCTAGGAGGGATTATGCCAGTAAATCTATTTCCAGCAAGTTCAATCTCTCCAAGATGAGATGCATTGGATAATGACATTGGGAACAAATCAGAGTTTCTTGTCTAGTCAGAAGCCGGCTAATGAATGGGTATGCTTCCTGGATAAACTGGTTATGGATCAAGTGCAAGCCTAGTAAAGAAAAGATACTATGCTCGCGTGGGATGCTGCCGTGAGTCGTGTATTGTACAGTAAAGTGTACAGTTAGAGAGGTGAGGTTAGCTATGCTGATGGGATGCTGCCGACTAAGCTAATATTTATAGGAGGAGTTGAGTTACAGGGGGGGGGTGAAGTAGGTTCCAATGGTATTGGATGCGCCCATATAATTGTTTCCAGACAGGAGATAGAACATAAAGAATAGAAGGTTTGTTAATGAAAAAGGTTATACATCCAGCTGAGGGTATTGCTCTTTTAAATTATACTGTATAGGTGAGCAATTGCTGAGACTGACTGAATTTACGTGGAGCTTTATCCCGCCCAGAAATTTGACAGTGAGAGAGTGAAGCAGGATAATTCCTTCAAGAGAATTTCGAACTCAAGTAAAGATATGTCAAACTGGAAAGGCGACCAATGTCTTGGTGGGATGGATCCGCTAATTTGATTGTCCGACAGATCAATCCTTCTGAGAAATGTGAGGTCTACTATGGGCGCTGAAATAACTCCAACCAGATTAAGAGAGCTCAAGTTCAAGGATATGACCCTTTGAGGATGTCGGAAGCCACCACAAGTGATGCCTTGCCATCGGCAGAAATGAAGAGAGTCGTTCCACGAGGCCAGTGACCCTCTAGGATCGCCGGATATCGTGGATTTGAAGGAGAGAAGTGATTGTCGATCAGTGACATTGTCATGTTTTAAATGGAAGATGGGGGTGGATGTGGAAGCTTTAGGGCATGAGAGGAGGACTAGAGCTGTAAACACTGAAAAAACAAACTGTTGTGACATTGGAATGGATTCTGCAAATGTGATATGAATGGTACACGATCGAGTTCTTACCATCTATTTATAGCTTTAAGGTCTTTCGGTCTTCATGCACGAGCCTCAGCTAAAAGCTTAGTCGATTAAAAGTTTAGCACCATCAAAGAATTGTCAGCAGTAGCCTCGCTTTCAATAATTGAAGTTATTGGAATATTCTACCGTGGAAGAAACTTCAAAGGTCTAGGTTTCTGTTTTGAGATTTTTGACAGGCTGTGGAAATACAAGAGTGGAAGCTCTCCGTGATATATGATCAAACTCTTGTTATGTATTCACGCTTCGATATTCTTGGTCTGCATCTTTAATTACTGAGGAAATACTGATAGGATGTTACTATGAAGCACATGTGATTGTCCAGCAAGGACAAGGGTGTCAGCCTAACAAAACAAAAGTGGGGCCCACAAAGGCGGGCCCCACAAGAAGAAAACTCAAATTAGGTGGCCGCCATTGTTGAGAATTTATGAAGGATGTGGGTCTCAAAAAAATTTTATTATTAGTGGCGGGTCCCACTGATAATATTTTATTTATGCATAGTATTTCCCAAACACTATAAATTGGGCCTAAACTATTCAGGAAAATTCATCCCTAGAAACAACTCTCATAGAAGAGTAAGAGAGAAAACATAGAGAGAGTTTATGAGAGTTCTTGGAGTGTATCTAGATCAAGAGAGAGTGTTCTCTTAGATCCAATTCTTTTGGAATATAAAAGAATTGAGCATCGTCGTTGCACCGTGGAGCAGCTCCGAAGGATTGAACCACGTATATCTGTGAGTACTGTGATTGATTTTGTGTCTTTATTCTGTGTTTTTTGTGTCTCCGTTTAAGGCGTTCTTGTTGGTGTGTACCCTAACAAAGTGTAAGATGCATTAAAATGAAGAGATTATAGCTAGATATGTCTATGTGGTCTATGAACTCTTACCTAAAGATAAGGAGAGGAAATGTCATAGACAGTTACAGATCACAAGAAGAGAGAAAGATGCATAAAAAGACATTTACATCCCAATTATCACTAGTAAAAAAACGAGCAACCTAGACGGAAATTTCCGTCTAGGTTGCTCCAAATCCCGTCTAGGTTGGTTCACCTAGACGGAATTCCGTCTACGTAGTTCCGTTTATTTTGAATCCGTCTAGATTGGTTTAAACTAGACGAAATTCCGTCTAGAGTGATCAACCTAGATGGAAGTCAACCTAGACGGAAATATGTCTATGTTGGAAACCTAGATGCATTTCCGTCCAGGTTGCCAACCTAGACGAAAATCCGTCTCAGTTTCTAACCTGATGAGGAGCCAAGGGCTTGGTTGCCAACAGAGAAGTTGTTGTGCCTTGGGCTTATCTTGATGAGGAGCCAGGGTCTTGATATTCGATTGAGAAGTCGTTGTGCCTTAGGCTTATCTTGATGAGGAGCCAAGGTCTTAGTGACCGACGGAGAAGTCGTTATGCCTTGGGCTTATCCTTATGAGGAGCCAAGGTCTTGACCATGATGGTCGATGAGAGCCTGAGGAATCGACCACCAGTTGTGCCTTGGGCTTATCCTGATGAGGAGCCAATATCTTGATATTCGACTGAGAAGTCATTGTGTCTTGGGCTTATCCTGATGAGGAGCCAAGGTCTTGGTGACCGACTGAGAAGTCGTTATGTCTTGGGCTTATCCTGATGAGGAGCCGAGGGCTTGGTTGCCGACTGAGAAGTCGTTGTGCCTTGGGCTTATCCTGATGAGGAGCCGAGGTCTTTCAAATCCGACTCAGAAGCCGAATGCCTAGAACCCTTAAGAGTTGACTAGGTCTTTGATATTTTTTTTCATTGATTGTTGAAATTTGTACATCATGGAGCGCAACTTGTCAACATTTAACGTCCGAATGACGTCGAATTCTTGTTCTCCGCTCATATGTATTTTAAAGGTTGCCTTTTGCAGGGGACAAGGCAACCGAAACGGAAAGCCATCTTTGAACATTCCCGTTTTGACGAGGGCGAGTCGTGGCTTTATTAGCTATCTTCGTTGCTGTGTGACTTAGGACACTAAGTCGCCAGTCGTTTGAATATCCGGAGTCGGATGTCGCTCTCTCTTTTGAGGGCGAGCTGTTTGTCTTTAGACGTCGCTGAGTTGTCGATATATTTTCCATCTCATTGGCCAGGACCTTTCTGAACTTGAGTCTTTGTTGAGGTCTTTGCAGGTCGACGGTGGATATGCTGATTTTCAAGGGCCCTTGGGGTTCTGGCAGCGGGTCCATCTTCTGGTGGATGGTCTGCTTGGCAAATACTCCCCAGAAAGTTGTCGAAGCCCTTGAGAGCTATGCCTTGAAAGTGCTCTGATACCAATTAAAAGTGTTCTTTTAATTGGTATCAGAGCATTGTTGGGTCCTTTTTTTTATGATGATTAACAAACAATTTACAATTAATGTTGTTTGTCTAGTGTTTGTGTTTTGTATTTATTCTAGGCAAATAATATGTTAAATGTTGGATGGATTGCACCACAACGATCATATCAAATGGAGGTTGGCAGAATAGTGGAGTGAAACAATGTAATTCACGTTGAAGATCCAAGTTCAAGTTTCATCCGCAAGTTTACCAAGGCAAGCTATATTGAAGACCTTCAAGCTTGAGTATATAGTTTATAGTGTTTGTAGTATAGGTTTGTACTTGTGTGTTAATACTTTAAGCTCATATTAATCACACACACGTATTTGTTGATTTTATCAAAATATAGGTGTTTTTTGTGAAAACATTATTTTATTAGTTTATAGACTTCAATATCAGTTTATACATATTTTATTAAGTCTATAAAATTAGTTTATAAAGTTTCAAAAGTTGGTTTATGTCCAATGTCAAAAACAAGTGTTTTTCATTTATATGTTTTGGACTATTTTGTAAAATGAAGATATTTCTCATTTGGGAGGTTGTTTGTTGGAAATTTGCAGTAAAAAGACAATGAAAGAAAAATTGACTTGTATTCCTCTCAAAATCAATTACAATTTGGATTCCGATTACAAAAGAGAGGAGAATGAATTTGATTCTCCCCTTTGTTTAAAACTAGGTTCTTCTTGGTAGCGATGGAGTGCCTCCTTCGATTGATTGTGTCGAACTTGCTCTCCGTTGACGATCCGACCGTCTTGATTCACTGGAACGTAGTCTTCTCCTCACGATTTGACGCTGTGGAGAACTTACAAAGCAAGTTTAAAACTCTTGATGAGTTGATAACTCTGATCGAGTTTGAAACTCTTGAAAAAGAGTTGATTTGAACCGAGAATCGGTTCTCAAGCCAAGGCCGAAGGCTTCAAGGAATGCTCCAAAGGATGAATGCCGATCTCTCCCTTTGCTGCCAAGTCCCAGATCCGAAAATGCCAGCCCTTGACCGAAAATCCCTTTGTTGATGAGAGAGAATCCGATCCAAAGCTAGCCGAAGATCTCTTCTTTGCTCCCCAAAAAGAAGGATCCAAGAGACCCGAACTCAGTTGAGTTTTCCACTATTTATAAGGGATTAAGGGTGGTAACTATCCCCTTAATCTGCTCCTCAATGGGCTGAGTGGGGTGTAACCGCCCCCTCTTAAACAACTCCCTAAATCGTGGGGAAAACGGTTTTGAAACCGTTCTGTTAGTGCTTTGAACGAGTCAAAACGCTGAAAACAGCGTTCTGGGCCCGAACTGTGCGTTTCTGGACCTGAAACGCACAGTTGAGGCTGAAAACGCACAGCTGGGGCTGAAAACGCACAGTTGAGGCTGAAAACGCACAGCTGGGGCTGAAAACGCACAGTTGAGGCTGAAAACGCACAGCTGGGGCTGAAAACGCACAGTTGAGGCTGAAAACGCACAGCTGGGGCTGAAAACGCACAGTTGAGGCTGAAAACGCACAGCTGGGGCTGAAAACGCACAGTTGAGGCTGAAAACGCACAGCTGGGCCCGTAAACGCACAGTTAAGGCTGAAAACGCACAGCTGGAGCTGAAAACGCACAGCTGGAGCTGAAAACGCACAGCTGAAGCTGAAAACACACAGTTGGAGCTGAAAACGCACAGCTGGGCCTGTAAACGCACAGTTAAGGCTGAAAACGCACAGCTGGAGCTGAAAACGCACAGCT